GACAACACTTTGGATATACACTGTATCCACTTTGCATATAATAAATATCCGTTTTGTACTTTGGATATACTCTGTATCGGCTTTGGACATACTCTGTGTCCACTTTGGATATACTCACTATCCACTTTCGATATACTCTGTATCCACTTTGGATATCCATTTTATCCAATTTGGATATACTCTGCATCAACTTTGGATATACTCTGTATCCACTCTGGATATACTCTGCATCTACTTTGGCTATACTCTGTATCCACTTTGGACATATTCTGCATCTACTTTTGATATACTCTGCATCCACTTTGGATATACTCTGTATCCACTTTGCATATACTCTGTATCCACTTTGGACATATTCTGTATCCACTTTGGATATACTCTGCACCTACTTTGGATATACTCTGTATCCGCTTTGGATATACTCTGTATCCACTTTCCATCTATTCTGTATCCACTTTGGATAATACATTATATCCACTTTGGATAATACATTACATCCACTTTGGATATACTTTGTATCTACTTTGGATATACTCTGTATCATATTACTTTCTTTCTTGGCATTGATCAGACCATGGATTTGTTGTGATTAAAGCCCAAGAGGTTTGGAAATTTGAAAATGAAGAAAATACAATGGACATAGCATTTCCTTCTCACAACGCTTTGGATCTACTCTATATCTACTTTGGATATACTCTATATCCGCTTTGTACATACTCTGTATCCGCTTTGGATATTTCTTGTATCTACTTTGGATATACTCCGTATCGGCTTTGGATATTCTCTGTATCCACTTTGGAAATACTCTCTATCCACTTTGGATATACATTATATCCCATTTAGATATACTCTGTATCAACTTTGGATATACTCTGTATCCACTTTGGATATAGACCTGATCCACTTTGGATATACTCTGCATCTCCTTTGGATATACTCTGTATCCACTTTGGATATACATTTTATCCACTTTGGATATACTCTGCATCTACCTTGGATATACTCTCTATTCACTTTGGATATACTCTGTATCCACTTTGGAAATACGCTCTATCCACTTTGGATATACATTAAATCCCATTTAGATATTCTCTGTATCCACTTTGCATATCCTCTGTATGCTCTTTGGATATAGACCTTATCCACTTTGGATATACTCTGCATCTCCTTTGGATATACTCTGTATCCACTTTGGATATACTCTGTATCCACTTTGGATATAGACCTGATCCACTTTGGATATACTCTGCATCTCCTTTGCATATACTCTGTATCCACTTTGGATATCCATTATATCCACTTTGGATATACTCTGCATCTACTTTGGATATACTCTCTATCCACTTTGAATATACTCTGTATCCAATTGAGATAATACATTATATCCACTTTGGATATACTCTGTATCTACTTTGGATATACTCTGTATCATATTACTTTCTTTGTTGGCATTTATCAAACCATGGATTTGTTGTGATTAAAGCCAAAGAGCTTGAGAAATTTGAAAATGAAGAAAATACAAAGGACATAGTATTTCCGACAACACTTTGGATATACACTGTATCCACTTTGCATATAATAAATATCCGTTTTGTACTTTGGATATACTCTGTATCGGCTTTGGACATACTCTGTGTCCACTTTGGATATACTCTCTATCCACTTTCGATATACTCTGTATCCACTTTGGATATCCATTTTATCCAATTTGGATATACTCTGCATCAACTTTGGATATACTCTGTATCCACTCTGGATATACTCTGCATCTACTTTGGCTATACTCTGTATCCACTTTGGACATATTCTGCATCTACTTTGGATATACTCTGCATCCACTTTGGATATACTCTGCATCCACTTTGCATATACTCTGTATCCACTTTGGATAATACATTATATCCACTTTGGATATACTCTGTATCCACTTTGGATATCCATTTTATCCACTTTGGATATACTCTGCATCAACTTTGGATTTACTCTGTATCCACTTTGGATATACTCTGTATCCACCTTGGACATATTCTGTATCCACTTTGGATATACTCTGCATCTACTTTTCATATAGTCTGTATCCACTTTGGATATACATTTTATCCACTTTAGATATACTCTGCATCTACTTTGGATATACTCTGTATTCACTTTGCATATACTCTGTATTCACTTTGGATAATACATTATATCCATTTTGGATATACTCTGTATCTACTTTGGATATACTCTGTATCATATTACTTTCTTTCTTGGCATTTATCACACCATCGATTTGTTGTGATTAAAGCCCCAGAGATTGGGAAATTTGAACATGAAGAAAATACAAAGGACATAGCATTTCCGACAACGCTTTGGATTTACTCTGTATCCACTTTGGATATAAACTATATCGGCTCTGTACATACTCTGTATCCGCTTTGCATATACTCTGTATCTACTTTGGATATACTCTGTATCGGCTTTGGATATACTCTGTATCCACTTTCGATATCCTCTGTATCCACTTTGGATATACTCTGTATCCACTTTGGAAATACTCTGTATTCACTTTGGATATAAATTATTTCCCATTTGGATATACTCTGCATCTACTTTGCATATTCTCTGTATCCACTTTTGATATACATTTTATCCACTTTGGATATACTCTGCATCTACTTTGCATATACTCTGTATCCACTTTGGATATACATTTGATCCACTTTGGATATACTCTGCACCTACTTTGGATATACTCTGTATGCGCTTTGGATATACTCTGTATCCACTTTCCATCTATTCGGTATCCACTTTGGATAATACATTATATCCACTTTGGATAATACATTACATCCACTTTGGATATACTCTGTATCTACTTTGGATATACTCTGTATCATATTACTTTCTTTGTTGGCATTGATCAGACCATGGATTTGTTGTGATTAAAGCCCAAGAGGTTGGGAAATTTGAAAATGAAGAAAATACCATGAACATAGCATTTCCTTCTCACAACGCTTTGGATCTACTCTATATCTACTTTGGATATACTCTATATCCGCTTTGCACATACTCTGTATCCGCTTTGGATATTTCTTGTATCTACTTTGGATATACTCCGTATCGGCTTTGGATATACTCTGTATCCATTTTCGATATACTCTGCATCAGCTTTGGCTATACTCTGTATCCACTTTGGACATATTCTGCATCTACTTTGGATATACTCTGTATCCACTTTGGATAATACATTATATCCACTTTGGATATACTCTGTATCCACTTTGCATATACTCTGTATCCACTTTGGATAATACATTATATCCACTTTGGATATACTCTGTTTCCACTTTGGATATCCATTTTATCCACTTTGGATATACTCTGCATCAACTTTGGATTTACTCTGTATCCACTTTGGATATACTCTGTATCCACTTTGGATATACTCTGCATCTACTTTTCATATAGTCTGTATCCACTTTGGATATACATTTTATCCACTTTAGATATACTCTGCATCTACTTTGGATATACTCTGTATTCACTTTGGATATACTCTGTATCCACTTTGGATAATACATTATATCCACTTTGAATATACTCTGCATCTACTTTGGATATACTCTGTATCATATTACTTTCTTTCTTGGCATTCATCACACCATCGATTTGTTGTGATTAAAGCCCCAGAGGTTGGGAAATTTGAAAATGAAGAAAATGCAAAGGACATAGCATTTCCGACAACGGTTTGGATATACTCTGTATCCACTTTGGATATACCCTTCATCCGCGTTGTACATACTCTGTATCCGCTTTGGATATACTCTGTATCCACTTTCGATATACTCTGTATCGACTTTGGATATACTTTGTATCCACTTTGGAAATAATCTGTATCCACTTTGGATATACATTATATCCCATTTGGATATACTCTGCATCTACTTTGGATATACTCTGTATCCACTTTGGATATACTCTGCATCTACTTTGGATGCACTCTGTATCCACTTTGGATAATACAATATATCCACTTTGGATATACTCTGTATCTACTTTTGATATACTCTGTATCCACTTTGGATACACTCTGGTATCCACTTTGGATATACATTATACCCCTTTTGGATATACATTTTATCCACTTTGAATATACTCTGTATACAATTTGGATATCCATTTTTTCCACTTTGGATATACTCTGCATCTACTTTGGATATTCTCTGTATCCAGTTTGGATATACTCTGTATCCACTTTGGATATACTCTGTATCCACTTTGGATATACTCTGTATCCACTTTGGATATACTTGATGTCCACTTTGGATATACTCTGTTTCCGCTTTGTACATACTCTGTATCTACTTTGGATATACTCTGTATCCAGCAACATCATCCCCAACCCCCACATGATAAATAACATTATCGTGGCTCACACATAAATGTCGTTTTCTGAGTATCTGAGCTCTCTTCTATTTTTTTCAATGTACCCCGCTTACAAGCGAATAACATTTCCTAGTACCCAGCTGGGAATGCCGAACTCATTTGGTACTTCGTAGTAGTATCTCGAATAACATTGAATCACGTATGATGTACGGAAATTACCGATGTTTAGATAATGAAAATCGATGGAAGGGAGATAACTCTAAATTAGTTTTTCTTGTCGTCTGGGTACTCCATACTATGATCCGATACCCGTTCTTAAAACAGTTCAAAATATGCAATGAGGTGTTCGGTAAGATACCATTGAGGTGTTCGGTAAGGTCCCTCGGGGCCCATGGGTTGATGTACCATCCATGTTTCGGGCTCAGGAAACATAAACACACATCGATGGTACATCAGCCCATTATCCCTCTCGAGACCAGTGAACAACTTATATTATTTCCACCGAGAGTAAAGGAAAAAACGAAATAAGACGCCCTAGTCTGTTAGGAACCAAATGATTATCCTTTCATCACCAATATCCACACTGTCTGTTTTTTGACTGTACCAAAAAGGCAAAAAATAACAACGATAAGTAAATTCAACAGATTTACTGTTTCCGCTGTTCTTGTGCAAGTAATCCTTATCAGTTCCATCACATACATTAGGGCTTTTCCTGTATGTCTACAGTGCAGAAGTGAGAGTGCTGACGTCTTCTCCCGTAAATTGTAACCTCAAAACAAATTTTAAGATTCACACTAAAAAGCAGAATGCGCACCATACCCGAAAAAGCTATAATACACGTCCTTAGAAATAAAAAGATGTGATTGGTGTTTCGAGACTGAATGGTGTAACAAAATCGAGGGTATCAAATATGAATTTTACAATATCAATCCTTTGTAAATGTTGAATCTGTGTACCAAATACATGCATATTTCCATCCGGCGTACTCCACTTCTGAGGCCCGAATATAAACAGACAGCCGAATCCTCATCAGTGTTGGTGAACCTGACAGTCAAGCAGGTTCATTCGTACCCGCTGTGTTCCAAAACCATGGAGTCAGTGAACATATATAATTATCACAAAAACTATGTGACCTAGAACGGTCCTCATCTCCATTCTCTGACAACTAACAATGCGTAATGTGGGTCCGGGCTATCAGGCGTTGGACGTGAAAGACGAGAACTTTTTTATATCCACTCGAGCTGGCAATTCCCTGAAAGGAAAGATTAATGTTATTAACGTGCAGCAATAGCTGATCTCTTCCATGACGAACTGTACGTTTTGATTTGGTATACACAGGTAAAGAAAAGATAATTGTTCGTGAAGAACAGTTTTTCTAATTTTCAGTGTTGTAATGACAGGTAACTACTAGCTTGGAACGAGTATCCATGAATAGGGAATACAGAAAAGTGAAATAATGATCAAATGATGAAGGGAAGACGCACCTGTGCGTGAAGTAGGTAATTACAGCCACGGCCAGGACGAGTACACATGTGCCACCCATGATGCCCATAGCAATGTAAAACAATTCTGCAAGAAAATCATTAAATGCATTGGAGTATTAGGATATCAGACTGTAAGAGTCTGGTCAAGACAATCTAGGGATGAACTCAAATCATGTTTTTTCCTGATTTAGCCCATCGGCTTGTGCAATAAAAAATCACATTCAAGTACACATAAAAACCAAGTCAACTAAACAACAACAGGTAACGAAACACTTGGAGTATTGAGCAATTACAGATGATAATAATGATTGCCTATATTTATACTCCCGTGTCAGACCACCCCATCTTGTATCAATAACGCAAGTTTAGTTTATTCTGTGTATGACTCTTCTTTCAGCAGTATCGATGCTATAGGGCGGCGGTCAAAAATAATCAATCCTGGACTACACAATCCAGTGACTGACATCTTGAGCATCAGTCCGCTTTACTGCGATAAGCTGACACACAATCAGTCTGAGCTCCCTGTCCATTTAGTCTTCTCAATTACAGCAAGCTGACGCTTATTGCCTTACCTAGAATCACATTAGTGCCTTACAAGGTCTGATTCATATAATATATGAATGGAATGGCTGGTCAACGTGTATGATGATATAAATTATTTTATTATTTTTTCGTATAGGATTGAGAACATTTGCAACATACAGACATATATTTTGTTCATAAATAAAGATGTATTGTAGCTCACTCACGTCTGTCTTCTTTCTCTTCAACGCTTTCCTTCGACATTTTGCTCGCAGTAGCGTTGACATCAATCGTATCGACGGCCGCCATGACTCGTTCTGGAAGAAGATTTTCTTTTTTGGTTTGAGACTATTCAAAGAATTGGAAATATTCAGATTCAACCTTCACTCACTTGTTGAATCTAGATTGGACAATGATAACTCTCTACGTGGACTACCACACTCTCTCACACGAAAACGCGACCATATCACAGAATACCTTGCCTTGGTTACCACAGTCCACCTCCAATGTCAGTACAAGATCTTGATGTACACGTGCAAGGTCTTGCATAACACTGCTCCGTCATATCTCAAGGAGCTCGTCATTCCATACGAGCTAGTGCGAACTCTTCGATCAGAGTTTGTATCTCTGATCACTGTGCTCGACACACGGACTGTAGTATATGGTAACAGATGCTTCAGCACGATTGCAGCAACCCTATGGAATGATCTACCCTCAACCGTGAGAAAACTCAACATCTTATGACATTTTTTAGACGGGTGTAAAACCGATCTATTTAAATCTTCATATACTCTGTAGCATTTGTGATTCTTTCTGTGAAGCTCCTCAGAATGTTACATATAGTATCTCTATTAAAATATTATTATTCACAGAATCTTCCCTCAATATATCCAGCGGTTAAAGCGTTTGCTCGTCACTCCCGCCGAAAGCCCGGGTTCGATTCCCCACATAGGTACAATGTGTGAAGGTCATTCATCGTGTCCCCCGCCGTGATATTGCTGGAATATTGCTAAAAGCGACGTAAAATCAAACTCACTCCTCACTCACACAATGTATCTGGTAGGTTCTCATTCGAAAAGTTGTGTTAAGGCACATATAGACAGACATATCTGTACACGCCACCAGCTGTATGACGGCGGCCTGAATATGACCATGCGTTGTCATATAATCCAGATATTGGTATTACAACCTATGATCCTCGCCCTCGGTGAACGATAGCACGGAATGAACGAAGTCACCGAGCCTGAACAAGCAATCCAATAAGTCGCCTCTTCCGACAAGCCTAGTTTGTTTAGGACCACTTCTGCCCTCACGGGGTAGACGTCAATAACAAAGTTATCATTTCAAATGGTTACCGTTTTTGCTTGACTGAGTCTGCAGCGCTGTGTCAGGGAATGTGTTTTTGTCAGGGGTCGCTGTCGGTGTTTCAGCAATCATGCTTTCTTTGGTTGATGTCACGCGAGTCCGCAATAGTGTGGCATTAGATAAAGCTGGTCTGGTAGTTAATGTGCTTGGTGAAGTCGTGGACGCTGAGGTTTCTGATGTTGGTGCGGGGATGTTGCTTGAAGAGGGGTGTTTTTTAGTTGATACTGGGTTATTTGTACCGGATGTAGACCTTCCGACCTGTTCTGATATCTCTCTTGAAATAGGCGTCGATGTTGATGTGTATTCATTTTGTATCGTACTTGTATAAGTGGAAGAAGCACCTTCTGTAGGGACACCTGGCTTTGTAATTTCTGGAAGAGGTACTGAAGGTTCTGGTACATCTGTACTAGGAGATGCGATGGATGTTACGTCTTTTATAATCACGGAAGATGACTTGGTTTGGTTGTCTGACGCAGTCGTTGGCACAGTATCGATAGTGGCCGATGTCGATACCATTGCTGGCAGTGTCGTCTGGCTGGTTACCGAGGATCTCGATACAGTCACTGGCCTAGTATCATTCTTGGTTGACGAAGAACTGGACACTGACACTGCTTTCATAGTAGCATTCGTGGTTGATCTGGACAGAGTCACTTGACTAGTAATATTCTGGGTTGCCACCGAACTCGACATAGTCACTGGTATAGCAATATTCTTGGTTGACGAAGAACTCGACACAGTCTCTGAACTTGTAATACTTTTCGTTGCCAAAGAACTTGACACGGTCGCTGGACTAGTAATATTCTCGGTTGCCACCGAACTCGACACAGTCACTGGTATAGCAATATTCTTGGTTGACGAAGAACTCGACACAGTCTCTGAACTTGTAATACTCTTCGTTGCAAAGAACTTGACACAGTCGCTGGCATAGTATTCGTGGTTGACGAAGAACTGGACACAGTCATTGGCATAGTTACATCAGTAGAAGATAAAGAACTCGACACTGACACTACTTTCATAGTAACATTCTTGGTTGAACTGGACGGAGTCACTGGACCAGTAATATTCTGGGTTGCCAACGAACTTGACACAGTTGGCGAAGACTTAACAGGCATCGTAGGAACATTCATGCTTGTTGATGAGGTCGGCACAGCCACTGCCATTGCAGAAACACTAGGTGTTGTTGTTGATGAAGTCGAGCTTTCTGATGTTGAGGATGGCAACTTGTCTCCTGTGGTGTCATTCCGTTGCTCATTTGTTCGCACCACTGTCGCTTTTGAGACAGAGTTTGGTATTGCTGTCGTGGCATTTCGTGAAGAACTTTTCGGGGGAATTGCAGGAGTTGATGTGGGATGAAGAACGCCCGTTGTATTTTGGCCTTTATTGGCGCAATGGAAAATAAATAGTGGTTACTACAACAGCAAATATAAAGTTGCAAAACCATTTTCATATTGATGCTGCTGATCGCTACAGGGGCAAATGCGTGTGCGTGTGCGTGCGTGTGAGCGTGCGACTAATGTTTTTTTTTGTTGCTGTCAGCCCACTGGCATACCTTACCCAAGTTTTACATGGTGTAAGGGGTAACAATCAAGGCGGCCGGTCGGCACAGAAGCATTTACTCTTCACGACTGCACGGAACAGAGTATACGATAAGACTGATATAGTCATAACACATATTGGACTAAACCGTTTTAATCACCCACAGAAACGTATCAGTACGTTGATACATGAAAAAAACCCATTTCCAATATATATGGTTGTTGTTGGTACATTGTAACCAGTTGCAGGCATATATTGCGCATCGAAGTGGAAATAGTCTTTTGACAAGTATATTGACGTTTTCCTTTATCATCATTGGGTTTTTTAAGCTCGACTCTTCAAGGAAAATGTGTAGTGTAATTGCGTTTTATTTGGTTTAACAAAGGCATCCCGGCCGACTATAGTAAAAATATGTCCAGTGTCACTGAAGAAGTGGCCCGAATTACTAAAAGTCCACGGACGCCTTTGGAACCTAACTAAGCGTGGTAACAATGTTCACAGTAGTCGTCAGCCTGGCGTCTCTGCCATCCCCTTTGTCAATTCAGGGTATGTTTATCTGCGCTGAATAATGTACCAGATAGTTTGTGTGTCATGTTCATCTTGAAGGTCATACAGTATACCATGATTATTTAGTATGCTTGGAAATGTTTCCATTCAGCTGATATGTGGAAACAGCAGTAATGTTCGTGTGCACACAAAATAGGAAGGAGCCGCTTGACTGTCAATATGATACTGGGCTTGTCAATGATAAATTCAGATCGAAACTACATACATGAATGTTACTTCGCAAGAGGTCTTACAATTTACAATAAGCCTTCAAAAAAGTGAAAAAGCTCGCATGAAACAAACCTGATATTTGACAGGATCGATCCCATAGATATATAGGATTGAATTGAAGCATGACCATATCCATTTCCTAAAAGCATAACTATATCTATATCTCATTGAAGAAAAACTGCACCAGTCTCTTTGAAGCATACCTGTATCAATCTCATTGAAGCATACCTGTATTCATCTCATTGAAGCATAAACATATCCATCTCCTTGAAGCATACCTGCATCCATCTCATTAAAGCATAACTATATTCATATCCATGAAACATACCTGTATCCATCTCCTTGAAGCTTACCTGTATCCATCTCATTGAAGCATAAACATATCCATATCCTTGAAGCACAACTAAATCCATGTCCTTGAAGCAGACCTGTATCTATCCCATTAAAGCATAACTATAAGCATATCCACGAAGCAAACATGTATCCATCTCCTTTAAGCATAACTATATCAATCTCCTTGAAGCATAACCACGTCCATCTCCTTGAAGGATATCTGTCTATCTATCTATCTCCTTCAAGCATAACCCACATGGGTACAATGTGTGAATCTCATTTTTAATGTCCCTCGTCGTGATATTGCTGGAATATTGCTAAGAGCGGTGTAAAACTAAACTCACTCAGTCAGTCACTCACTCACTCAAGCACAACTATATCTGTCTTCTTAAAGCATTACTATGTCTCTCTCTATAACCACATCAATTTCCTTGAAGCATCAATATACAGTCAAATCCCGATGAGTCGAATCTCTGGGGACCAAGTAATAAATTCGACTTATCGATGTATTCGAGACATAGGTATGTCTATGAGGGTAGAAAAAAGATGATC